AACTCAAAAATTCACCTGCCTCTGCCTCCCAAGTGCTGGGATTAAAGGCATGTGCCTCCACTGCCCGGCTTTCTTTTTCTTTTAAAAAACATATTGTATTTTATTTTGAATTAGGGTCTCTTGATAAAACCCAGGCTTATATTTTTTCCTTTTTAAAAATAAAAAATAGTATTTTTAATTTTTAACATATGATGAATCTAATCAAGAATCAAAAAGCATTATATTTGGTTTTGCTATTTCTTTAGTCTCCTTTAATTTAGCAAAATTCCTTTGCTGTGTTTTTCCTCTCACTGTGTAAAACCCCCCCTTTTTTTTTTTTAAAGAACCAAGGCTGTCAGTTTTGAGAATGTAATTTGTTTGGTTTTATTTGATTATTTCTTGCTGTTTAGAATCAGTTTAAACATTTTTGACAGAGACACTAGGTAGGGTGATATTTTCTTCATAGCTAATCCAGAAAGTACATACTTTGTCTTTTTGTTAGGGACACTTTATTTGATATTCTGGTAAAGAAATCTAATATATGCTATATTGTTCCCCAGTATAAACATACTCTTTCTCATTTATAACCAATTACTATCTAGGATTACATTAGTAGTGTATTTTCCCAACAATTTTTACCACTGATTTTTAACAGTTGTTGATTCTTGCTTGAATCATTTATTTTATTGGTGAAAGAGTAATTATTTTAAAAATACTTCCAATTTAACTGATAATTTTACCTTTTATAACTCACCAGATCACAGAGATGATCTTACCCTGCCCACCGCCATTTCACCAAATTGTACATTGATGAATTCTTATTGGAACTTTAAAAGGCCATTTACCTGCTAGCCAATATCATGTTCTAGTTTACTGTCAGTATTAAAAGCATTTTCCATGAGGTTTTCTCATATAGCAACCATAACATAACATAATATAATTGATATTCTGAGTGTAACTAGAAATATATTAAGAATCGTATGGAAGTTGGCAACTTCTCCTTAATGGTTTGTTGAATGAATACTTACATTTATTGTTTGGTTCTGGTCGTGCTGGGGATTGGGTTTGTGCCTTGTGCATGTGAAGTCAGGTGTTCTGCTGCTGAGTTATCTCCCAACACACTTTGCACTCTTTACTGTTTTGTAACCTAGTACATTTAATTAAAGTTGCTCATGTGAACATAGGTGACAGGTTAGTTAGAGGGATTTGGTAATTTACCAGCATTGCTGTTTATGTTACTTTATTTATTTACTTACTTTAGGCTGCAGGTTCTTGGTATACTGCCTAGGCAAGCCTGGAACTCCAGAGTCCACCTGATCCTCCTGCTTTAGCGTCTTGAGTAGCTGTGACTAACAGACAGCTGCCACTGGGCTGAATGCGTACATGTTTTATTCACTGATACTGGCTTATACTCGCCTTTTTAAAGGAAAATAGTATCAAAATTTGTGTTACGTTTGGTCTTGTTTTACATTTGGCCTGTGTGTGCAGGCATTAGGTGCAAAGGCCAGCACTGTACTAACTGCACACTTTTCCAAACAAATTAACTTACCTAATCATTACATTATCTTGCTCGTTTCCCTGGTTGTTGCTATACTAAATATCTTTAGAAGAGCATTATTGGTATATTTTAAGTTACAAACTATTTCTCTAAAATTTTTCTATAACTTAAAATTTACTTGTATCAATATATGTAATGAGGTCTAAAAGTAACTATCATTTCAAACATAGGAAATTTAAAAGGATTTTTAAATAAATGTTTTAGATAACTTTTTTTTTTTGAGACAAAGTCTCACTATGTAGCCTTGACTGGCCTGGCTTAGGACTTGTTATATAGATTAGTCTAGGGTCAAACTTGAAAAACACTGGGATTGTTTAAGCACGTGCGCCCCATGCCCAGCTAGTGTAGACATTTTTAAAAATCTGGTGTTTTGAAAAATGATTTTTCCTTTAGAAAGTTTGGAAGACTGGCTGGGGAGATGGTTCAGTGGGTGAAGCTCTTGCCATACAGTGTAACAACTTGAGGTAATATCCTCAGAGCTAAGTAAGAATTGGATTCAGTAGCACAATGATAGTAACCCCAGTGTTTATCCCCACCAGGAGTTGAGAGGCAAAGACAGGAGATCAGAAACTCACAGGCCAGCAAGTCTGGCATAGACAGCAGTGACGAATAAGAGACTCTATTTCAAACTCTGCCCTACACATGTGTTCTGTGGCACCCGTGGACCCGTATTCACAGCACAAACACATATGTATATATCATACACAAACTACACTTAGGCTGGGCGGTGGTGGCACACGCCTTTAATCCCAGCACTTGGGAGGCAGAGGCAGGCGGATTTCTGAGTTTGAGAGTTCGAGGCTAGCCTGGTCTACAGAGTGAGTTCCAGGACAGCCAGGGCTACACAGAGAAACCCTGTCTCGAAAAACCAAACAAACAAACAAAAACAAAAAACAAAAAAAACCAAACTACACTTAGAAGAGATGATGTTACTAGCATTCATTATAAACAGTTCATAGATGTAGTCTCAAGACATTAGGTTACACAGTTGTTTTAGTAAAAGAAATTTGAAATCCTCCAATGAGCAATTGTGTTTTAGAGAAAAAAATAGAAGCATAAAAATAATTTCATTTACTTATAGCTATGGCTGTCTGTAGATTTATTTTGGAACAATAAAGATTCTTTCCATGTTAGAATTACATTTGGGTTGTTTTGAGAGTGATAAAGAAAGTAATGAAACTTCATTGGAGAGTAATAAAACTGTGTCTAAACCATGTGTTGTTTAAGCTGGATGTCATGGTATATGCCTTTAATCCCAGTACCCATGAGTCAGAAAACCAGTGGAGCTCTGTGGGTTCAAAGCCAGCCTGTTCTACATAGCAAGTTCCAGGACAACAAGTGCTATATTGTCAGTTCCAGACTTTAAAAACAAACAGACAGAAAAGTGTGTGTGTGTCTGCGTGTATTGATTTCTTTAGTTGGCCATTTTAGAGAATGCAGAATAGCAGGGATTTTATATAATTTGATGTTTTACAACCAAGTCTTTCTGTGTTCACTATCATTTAGCTGAGTCTAAATTCAGTGTTGAAAGTAGTTAAGACACTACCATTCTCAACCCGGAGAGACTTTTAGTGGCTACACAACCACTTTGTTCTGCATTCCTATGACTTTCTTTCCTTTTTGTTTGCTTATTTAGTGGTTTGAGAAAGAAAGGTCTCACTGCATAGCCTTGGCTGTCCTGGAACTCACTCTGTAGACCAAGCTGGCCTCAGACTCATAGAGATCCATCTGCCTAAGCCTCCTTTCTACTGGCATTAAAGGCGGGCACCACCAAGGCTGTCTATGTTCCTATTTCTTAAGTAAGTATCTCATACCTCAGAGAACATACTAAGCTGAAACCTCCTAGTCTGTAGAACCCCTCTGTGTGGAAACAGAGATAGCAGAC